GGAAAACTTAAAAAACCGGAAGTATTACACACTATGGGAAAATATATGTTAAATACATATATTAATACAAAGATCCCAAGAGGTTAGAAATGTGTTGTGGGGTGGAGAACAACTCGATAATACGCAGACTACTTGTCAGGGAGAAAGCTCTGTCTCGTGGCCATTTGTCAGGCGGAATGTACAGGCATCTCTCCAGCCCACCGCACACCAAGAGGCCCCAGTGGGCAGAGAACTTTTTATTCAGAGCTATCAGGCCCTCTGCAAACCAACTCTTGTAAATGGGCCACCACACACACACGCACACGCATACGCACGCACACAAGAATACATGATGAAGACTCTCAGAAGTTAAAATCTAAAAGTGAAAATACCTATTCATTCCTAAAGAAAGCTCCAGAAAAGAGGTATCCCTGTGCTTGAGGTCCACTCCAAGGCCCTGCTGGCCTCCTGCTCCCTCTCCGTCCCCTACGTCCCCTCCCATGTGGGGAAGAAGGTATGCTACATGACCGGAATCCTAGCCATAAAAAGCATACTTCACTCACCACAAGTGCCTTGAGAGCTAAGAGCTAGAGAGTAGGAAACATGCCACTTACAGCATTCACATGTGAATAAACGCTACCCCCTTTTAGATTTACTCCGTGAAGCAGCAACATTATCTTTCAAAGTTGCGCTTCACATGGCAGGGGCCTTCCGTGTCCTCATTAGGCACTGGCCAGGTGGCAGGCACTAAAAAAGCCCATTTCTCTGCGAATAGCAAGTAACAAAATAGGGAGTTACCTGGCAGGGCGTTACCTCAACAATGTAGGCTAGGAGAAATCAAAATGCTGAAGGGTGTACGGCAAGGGGACAAAGTCACCTACAAGTACGGGAACACTTTCTTGAGCTCCGTGTTCAAAAGGCACCGCCCAGGGAAATATACCTAGATTGGTTCTGATCCAATTCTTTTTTAAAAAACGTCACTCACCTGCAAATACTTCTCTTTTACAAAGGAGAAAGTCATTGAGGGGCGGCTCGGAAGAGAACAGCAAAATAGCAACAACAACAACAACAGCAACAAAGCCCTTCGGGAAATGACTGAAGGAACTACATCTGTGGAACTGGGAAAGCGGATGACTAAGTGGGAACATCATACCAGCCCACGAATATCTGCAAGGTGTAAAGCTGGGAAGGAGTGAAATTTTAGGATGGCACAAAGGAAGATCAAACAGGGCCAGGGTCTTAGGGGACTTCACACTTTGCAAGCCTCCAAATCTTTCCAGCATACCAGACACAGTGATGATCCATTCTCCGGACGCAGACGCCGCAGAGCCGGCAATGCCACGCCCGGGCCGGCCGCACCAGCTGACACTTGGCACACCAGTCCTCCTTCGCCTTGGCAGGGCTTCCGGCCAACACCCTGCAGGAGCCCTTAAGATCATCCTTCGGCGTGCGGTTGCTGAGACTGCCCGACGATCCCGCGCCGGGGAGCCCTCTGGTCTTCTCCAGCCCGTCTCTGCTCAGGCATTCAACTTGGCTACTGCTGGCAGATCTGTCCTTGCTTGCTGGCTTTCTGAGGTAGCCTGGATTCTTCTTGGCTCTGTACAGGGCTAAGAGTATCAGAAATAACCCGCAGGTAAGGAGAGCCAGCTGAGTGGGCCCCACGCGCCCTCTGGGGACCACTTCCTGCAGGAACACATAGTACATGTAGCCCAGAGAGAAGAGTCCGAGGCTCAGGAAGAACAGAGTGTGTCCTTTCCTCCTGTGGGTGAGGTAATAGTACCACAGCAGCAGCCCGGGAAGGGAGCTCAAAACCAGCCCCCCCAGGAGGAAGTGCCAGGAAGCCACGCGGAGGAGGACGGGCAGGAGGATGAGCGGGGGGACGATGCTAATGTTAACTTTTTTGGCTCCCCTAAGCCAAGGAATTCGGAGGCGATCAGAAATAGTATCCATGATTCTTTCGCAAGTCTCTGGCTGCATGGATTTACATGTCATCCATCTAGTCAGAAGAGCACAAAGAGAAGGCACTTCACACGGGTTTGCTAAATTCAAAACCACGGCTAAACAGCAGGAGAAATGATAAAAGAGGCTAAATGCCAAGTACTCTACTTCTGTACCACTGAACACGAGCTCTTTGGATCACACAGCATTTACTTAATACGAAAAAGACGACAATGTTTAGAAATCTAACAGTTAACACTATTTCTCCACGAAGCAAACACAGGAATACACACACATACTCTGTACAAGTACTGTTTAGACTTGGGTGAGTACAGAGACTTAAGATCCTCAAAAAAAATTTCATAATCTAGTTATGAAGACAATATGGGAATTCGGGAAGGATCAGAGAAGAGACAAAGCAGCAAAATCGCCCGGTGAACTATTGTGGCCAAACTCCGTAAGGTGTGCTCAAAGGAGAGTGGACACTGCTGGGTGGAGTCGTGAGAGGGATCGCTGTGAAAAAGGTGGGATCTGCGCCCCACCTCGACGGCAGGCCAGCATGTGGGGGTGGGGGGAGGCAAGGAGGCGTTCCAGTGGAGCGGCACGTGCACAGCGCAAACCCGTCCTGTGCCCGGGGAGTCACCAGTCTAGCAGGGCCAGGGGGCTGCATGAGGAAGAGTGGAGAGCAAACTAGTCAGAGCGAAATGACTGAGCTTCGTGGACGCACAGTATTTGTTGACATGTTTGCACACTTAGGCTAGCACGACAAGGAACAGTAACTCTTGACTGCAGACAATTTAGAAAAGGCAACAACTTGGACATGAGAGGAGGTAAGTACATGGGAGTCACACAGAGCAGCAAGATAGAGGGGAGACTGGGAGCCTATCTCCAGGGAAGGGTATGGCAGGAGCAGGCGAGAGAGCTCAGGGACGGCCCAGGTCTCAAGGGCTAGCAGACAGAAAGAGTTAGAAGGTTAATGGAAGAGCTGTGGTCTCGAGTGATGGAGGTTATGGAAACAGCATCATTTTTCCATTCATTAAAGCAGAGTGCTCCATTTTCTCCGTATGGATTTTAGACTAAGTCCATTTAAAAATACCTGTAAAAAAGACTAAAGACACTATCAAGGAAGAATTACAAAAGGTCTATAGGGCCTTCAGGGCTCTGGTAGTAAACTACAGTGGTCCCAAGACGCTCTTCACGTCTAGATGAATGCACCAAGCTCTAAGTCAGCAACGTGCCACTACAGTGACTTTTTTTAACCGGAAGTAATCATTAATGGGATAAACAAGTTTCCAACATTCTTACTCTCCTCCCACATTGTGCTTTCCATAGGGCAACAATTTTAGGTATATAATTATTTAGAAAATGGATTAAAACCTCGTTATTACTGTTTGGTACAAAATTTTTTCTCTGATGTTAAAAATCATCTTTTTGGATAGTAATTTCCAAGACTTGGGATAACGGTGAAAATAAAAGCCAAATACGATGATTATCAGTCAAGACAGTGTTGCTGCCCATGCTGAAAACAGCCAGTCCAGCGCAGGGACATGCCCCCTGGCTGGATTTCCTCCCCAGGGACAAGGGGTGAGACTAATGCCAACAGCAAGAACATGACCTTTCAACCCTTTGTGGCCAGGTGCAGTCCAGCCTCAAGTAGTCGATCTCTAGATACTGAGAACACTGAGAATGTAGGAATGTCCTGGTACCAATGTGTTCACTTTAAATGTACAGATTCTGCTGGTCTGCACTTTATTTTTTATACATTTAACTCGCCACTATCCCTTTATTTGCCTGTTCTCTCCATCATCTTCTCCCTTGAAGTGAAATAACGCCCTACTAAACTGAGAGGAATAGACAGCTGCGCAGTTGTGCACTGAGTAATTCACCTTCATAAAATCCTCACACCTGACACAGAAGACAACTCATAATTTTAGATCCTTGGGAATAGCATCAAGAGCAAATTCTAGTGTTCTGGATGGCTAAGCTTAAAGTAAGCATGGTAGTTCTCAAGAGAGCCAGTGGGGTCAACTTCAAGAAAGGCTCTGCCCTTACCTATCACACCCTTCATCGAGATCCTGGCAATCACACAAACAAGCGGCCACGTGGTTCTTTTCCCCATTTCGATCGATGTACTCGCAGCAGCACAGGGGCTCCAATTCAGGTTCTTCCGCTTTGTTTTTCTTCACTGGCTTCATACTGCCCTTCTGTGTCACGATTTCCACCTGTCACCGCGAGGTGTAAGAAGCACTCAGTAGGTAAAGGTGAAAAGAACACGACTCACATCTTGTAAACACATCCACGCCTCTGATTAGCCGCCAACGCCTGAGAAATCAAACAGGAGAGGAAAGAGGGGGAGGGGGAGTCTCATTTTCATCAGGCTTTTCTTGCTCGGCTCGGCCCGACAGGGAGCTCTAGGGGCTCCCAGCCGCCTTCACAGCCCCTTCCCACCAGGGCTGGCGCCGTCTGGGTACCAGCGGTTCCCATGGTGACAGCCGACCACACGGGCCCAGACAGCCGGGGCGCGGGCGGCTGCGCTCACCTGCCGGTGCAGGATGGGGAGGGCCGAGCGGTCCCCGCCCAAAGCCCGGGTGCAGGTGGAAACTCGCCCTCTGGGCTGCGGGCGGAGAAAAGCGTGTGCCGCCGGGGCCGGCGCCCGCACCCGGTTCTGGTGAGGCCACCAGACGCCGGTGCAGCGCTCGGGGTCGCCGTCCAGCCCCGCGTCTCCAGCTCCGCGCAGGGCGCACCTCTCCCGCCCCCGCCGACCGTGAGGACGTGGGCGGGCCCGCGAGCGCCGCCCCGCCCAAAGAATGACCTTGGAAGGGAAGTTACCTGCGCTCGGGGGCCGAGGTGCGGCTGCAGCCAAAGAGGCCCAGGTGGAGGGGAGAAGGGTAGATTCCTCCCGAGGCGCGGACGCGTCTTCCGAGCTCTGCTCCGCTGGGCTCTCTGTATGACGGCTGGAGTCCCGGAGACCCCGGCTCCGCTCCGCCGCGCCTCCGCCGCCGCCCACCTGTGAGCATAGGCGGCCGCGGCCCGGGCAGCGCGCCCGCCTCCCCGCCGCTCTCCTGCCCGCCGGCTCGGCGTGGCAAGTCCGCGCGCGCTTCCGGGTGCCCCGCCCCCGGCGCCGGGGATCCCAGCCCGCCCGCACGTGCACCGCCCGGCGGAGCCCGCCGGTCAGGCCCCACCCCCGGCCCGAGGCCCTGGCGCCGGGAGAAAGCGAGGACCTGACGACCGGCTCCCGGGAGTGGGCGCCGGCGGCGGGGCCTAGGGCTGGGCCGGCACCTCCGCCCCGCCCGGCCCGGTGCGGCCCCGCCGGCGGCTGCGGGCGGTACGTGGGCGGGGCAACCCCAGAGCCCTGGGCCGGAGGGAGGTGCCGATGGAAAGACGGCAAACCCGGGAACCCGGAGTATTTCCTAGGCACCGGACACCCGTGGGTCGGCCAGTCTTCATTCGGACGCCGGCCGCAAGCTTAGGTGGAGATCTCCACCGCAAATTGTTACCGAGGTACCGCCCCCAAATTCTCCAGCCTTCCCTTAAAGGCCCATCGCTGTCCCTGATCTGTTCATTTATAAAGCTTGTTCATTTTCATGATTTCTGGCGAGCAGATTCTACATTCGACCGGCAGACCGACTAGTACTTTTGTTCCAACAGTCTGCATATTCGAAATGAAATGAGTCCTCTTTGAGTTTTATTTTTGCACAAAATTTTTCATTTATTTTTTTTTTTTTAAGATTTTATTTACTTATTTGACAGAGAGAGAGAGAGACAGTGAGAGGGAATACAAGCAGGCGGAGTGGGAGAGGGAGAAGCAGGCTTCCCGCTGAGCAGGGAGCCCAATGCGGGACTCGATCCCAGGACCCTGGGGTCATGACCTGAGCCAAAGCAGACGCTTAACCGACTGAGCCACCCAGGCGTCCCTGCACAAAAATTTTTAAAGAGTGTAGGCCCATATACACGTTTTCATTATAGCAGGTTTCTAGTTATTTGTGTTTTTTGGGTTTTTTTAACAGAAAAAAACTACAACTCAAGACATTTTGGGTTTTATTGATATTCAATTTACGTAACAGGCTCAAATGCAATTAATTAAGTTCTGCATACATACATGTTTAGTCTTAATCTATAAAGCAACTTTGGTAATTTTCTTTGAGGTATATTTATGAAGTACAAGTTTTACAGAAACACCACAAAAATATTGTTTGCCACTGATCTTTTTTGTGAATTTAACAGAGAACAAAGTCTTCAAGTTTATAATCCAGTGACTCACTCACAGCCACACTTCATAAATCAAAAAAACCCCAGGTAAGTAGACTGGTACCCCCAAGGTAGGTTTGTTGGGAATCACCCAGAGAAATCCATTTTCCCTGTACTTATTCTCAAAAATGACTTTAGCTATCTCCTGTGGCTCTGGGGAAAGAAAGAAGCATTTAACTAAAGGCAAGCACTGTCCAAACAGTAAGAATATATACCAATTATTAAGCACTGTCTTTCTCTTGTTCCAAAGACATCACTTGTATTGAGACATATATGCCTAAAAACTTTTCATAAAAGAGCCAAAGCTTCTGTCTGATTTCAAACTTCAGTCAGTGCCCTAGTATTGGGACATAGTGCCCCCAAAAGTTTTTATTGACGAGCGAAAGTTTGTGTCTGGTTATAACTTACCAGCTGAAACAAGCCGCACACATGAATGAATAAATGAAGACATATGTAGCTACTGAAAAGTAATCCACAAATTATTTTCAACCAGGTGTTTCACTTCCACCATAAAAGAGTGCTAAGCTGAAGCCAAGCTTAGTTCAAGTATTCATCTGATCTGTCACTAAATGCCCAGATTTTAACATAATCCTCTGGTTCTTAAAATCAGAGCATGGTTCTTCATTTTGAGTGTTGGTATCCTATGTTTCCTTTTCCAGAACTGACTCTTCTGTCATTTGATACATGAAGGGGCAAGATAATGTCACCTCTGATAGCTACCTGAAGAAGAAACAACCATTTCTTCAGAAAAATACAACATGGCTCAAGAACGTTTCAGATAATAATTACCAACTTGCAGACTCAAAAGGTTGGACTATTGAATTTGCATGCTAAATAAGTGAAGAAATTATAATATTTACAGTACACAAACTTAGAAATGTTATATGCCTGAAAATTGGTCCTTCAAAAGTAGTAATGATAAAGAGGTTTATTCTTCTATTGTCTTCTTTAGCCTCTTGAATGTATCTCAACTGGGAAAGCAGCCTATGGGACACCTACTGATTCTGTGCTAACAGATAAAGCATCAAACTTCAAACCTCACTGTAAAAATCAGAGTGTCTCATTTTCTTTTTGTATCAGAAATTCAAATCCACAACATATTTCATGCTTCACTAGAGAAATTCACTGCTTAGAATTATGTATAAGAAGTGAAAGAATGGATTGTAAGGCCATCAGAAACTAGTTATCAAATTAATGTTATTAAAAAGAATGTTCATATTAGAAGTACCAATAATGAGAAAATGTGGAAATGTTCCTGTAACAATTAAAATCCTTCATCCTCTGGTTTTCTTTAAGATGTTTTCTTTTAGTTCCAAGTGTCTCTACATTTTCAGACCTTGAGATCACTAGCTTTCGACAGTCATGCCAGTCTTGTTCTTATTTAGTAGATCAAAAGTTCTCTGAAGCATAATGAGTGAGCTCTTCAACTGCAAACAAAATTAATTTTCAAAATCAGTTTGTTTACATTTTTTCTTATTTTTATGCCAAAAGTTTATATTCAATATAGTTTTGTTTATACTGATGCCCAAATAAAAGACTGAATTTATAAAACACATGGCTGCTCAGGGTTCGTGTCGGTATGACTGCTAAGGAGCTCTTCCTGTCCACTGTGGTCCTGCACTTCTCCCCACTCTCCTGCTGTGCATTCTGCCTCCCAGCAGGTGGTTTTCTTAAATGGTTTCTCAAGTTGCACTGGCCTCTCCACTATCCCCTAAACAACTCAAGTTCTCCCTCCAGGCCTCTGCTTGCTATTATGCTCACACCTGTCTTCAGCCATTTAAAACTTACTCATCCCCACCCTCTCCGTGTCACCTTCCCTAATCATCCTGCCTTTAAACTCCCAAAGTATTACTACTTACTTGACACTTTATACTTTTTTATAGTTTTTAACAATACACATGGACATCTGATTTCTCTAATAAAATTATAGGCAACTTGAGAGCAAGAATTATGTTTTATGCTTTTTTATATTCATTCATTTGTTCATTCATTCAGTAAATGTTAATTGTGTATCTATTACATGCTGGGTCTGTACTAAGCCAAGCACTGGGTATACACAATGGTAAACCAAACAGGCACTATCCCTGCCTTCATGGAGCTTACAGATTAGTGATGGATACAGAACTAAAACAAGTCATCACATATATAAATATATACTTCCACAAGGCATTAAGTTTTTGACTGGAGGATGACAGTGTCATTTTCTGAAACACGTCAGCTAGAGGAGAATCAGTCTGGCTCAGGATGAAAACTGAATTCTGTCTTGGACATGATCAATTAGTAGTGGCCTCTTAGCATCCAGGTGAATATGCCAAGTCAGCAGGTGACTGCGTGGGCCTGGAGCTCAGGGAAGAGGTCCGGTAAGAGAGATGGGTTTGGGAATCAATGACATGTGTAGCACAAGTAAGGGGAGTGGATGAGACCACCTAAAGGGAAGTAGAGGAGAAAGCCTGGAGTACTAGGCCAGGGAGAGGAGATGGTTTTAACCAGCAAAAAGCAGTTTTACTTTATGCTAGGTACAAGTCACAAAGACCATATAGCATATAATTCCATTTATATGAAATGTCCAGAATGGGCAAACCTATAGAAATAAAAAGTAGATTAGTGATTGTAGGAGCTGAGAGACTGCTAATGGGAACAGGGTTTCATTTGGGGGTGATAAAAATGCTCTAGATTTAGGCAGTGGTGATGGTTGTACAACTTTGTGAATATGCTAGGAATTCTTTCAAAGGTGAATTTTATAGTATGTCATTTATATCACAATAAGGCTGGGTTTTTTATGGTTTTAAAGAAGGAAAGATTAGATACGCTTCAAGAAAGGAGTGGTCAGCTCTTGTCAAATGCTCACACTGTAAGATGTAAACTAAAAAAAGGTATATTAATTTTAAAAGCCAGAGGTCACTGGGGACCTTAGCTTGAGCAATATCATTGGAAGATATGAGGGAAGAAAACAAGGCAGGAGTGAGGTGAAGAGCAAATAAGTGGCTTAAATATAGGCATCTAATTTTGCTCCCTCCTGAAACCCCACTAAAAGCACAATAAAGGGATTTTTTAAGGCATAAATCCAGGAGGACAGGGAGAACAGAAACAGCAAAAGCAGCAACACAACATCGGAAACTAGAAAGCAGATGGATGACTTAGCAGACCAAAAAAAGTGGAATCCTAAACTAACTGTGGAGAAAGCTGAGAACCAACCACATTTACCCTGAAGAATCCTCAAAAGCCTCAGGAATTGACAGGAATCTCTGGAAGTCGGAATAAAGAGAAAGGGACTAAAAATGAGGATTATATAAAAAAGTGTTGAGACCATCCCCCTATGCCCTGGCCTCCTCCATCCCTCTACTTTCACTCTGCTTCTAAAATGCTGGCAGGCAGCCCTTAATCCTTCAGCTGCTCCTCTATGGGAACTGACCAATCTAAGAGGAAAGACCTAAAGACAGTGATACCAGGATTTCTCAACCAATAGCCCTGCCAGATCTACAGAGAAGTTCAGGGTACACCAACCCAACCCACATTAAGAGCTTAAGAGCTTCTGATCCACACAAGCTGACAACCAAGGACTAAAGACATCTAATGAAATCCTCTTACTCTAAGGATAAAAATCAAAACAGGGAAAGGATCTTGATGGAAAGTGAGTAGGCAAGAAGGGGAAAAATTTTAACCATCAGTAATATGATCAGAGAGATGAAGATATATAGTCATTTTAAAAGATCACAGTGCCATTAAAAAAAAAATTCAAAAAAGTAATAGGTCTTTGAAATTAAAAACTTGTTAGCAAAAATTGAAAGACATAAGAATGTAAAGATTAAGTTGAGGAACTCTGAGGAAGCAGAACAAAAAGGCAAAGACATGGAAGCTGGAAAGAAAAAATAAGATTAGACAGCCTGTCCAAAAGAAGGCGGACATCTGAATTACAGGAGCCATAGAAAGTCAGAAGAGAGAGAGTGGAGGGGAGGAGATCATCAACTGTGTAACTCAGTATTTCCCAGAACTAAAAGGCATGAGTTTCCAGACTGAAGAATGAAGGATGCTAACAGCCTCAGAATTCTTAATAGCAACACTGGAAGCTGAAAAACAATGGAGAAATGCTCTGAAGGAATATTGTTTCCAAGCTAGAATTCTACCCCCAGCCAAACTATTAATCAAGGGGAAGGACAGAATAAAACTTTTCACACTAGTGAAGTCTTAAAATATTACATCCACGTTCTCTTTCTCAGGAAGCTACTAAAGGATATGTTTCATTCAAAGAAAGGAGTAAACCATTCTGGATATAGGAAACAGAGGAGGTATTCAACAGGAATCCCCGGGACCAGAGCTGTGCACCTGCAGAGAGGGCCCCTGGGCCTGACTGGAGCCAGTCAGAAGGCTCCACTCATAGAAGACCTGAGGTGAACAAAGGTTAGGAGAGGAGACGCCTACAACAGAGCTTTAGGAGATGAGATACTTATAAATAATACAATAAACTAATTAACTGTCATAAGACAATTTCAGGGATAAGAAAAAGCACAGAAAAGAAAAAGTAATCATGGTTTATTCCATGGCTCAGCTCAGAATAGCAAACTTAGTCAAAACAAAGCAAACACTGGATACTGAACTAACCAAAATTGTTAACTTCCTTGGGAGGATGGGGGAATCAGAAAAGAGGACAAGAAAGAAAAGAAAACCTTTGTCTTCCATAACAGGAGGTCGAAAGATCTGTCTAAAACTGAAAAATCAAGAAGTATCAATACATGCTTGTTGTTTATAAATATGAGGTAAACACAGAAAGAAACTAAAAGAGTTAAAGATTGTTGTGTTTGGCAAAGTATATAGTGGGACTGCTGTTTTTCTGAACAAACCTTGTAGAAAAGTTAACCATGTGAAGGAGTCACTTTGGTGAAAATAAAACCTTTAGAAAGTGAATGGCTTATGAAGGACAAAGTAGTGACAGCCACAGCAGACAACTCTGAAAGAGCCAGACCGTGAAAGGAAGCAAGAGAGATGGGCAGACAGAGAAGGATGTGGATGGTGTGGGTGCTTTAATGTAGGAGAGACTAGAGCAGGGCTATGTGCAGATGGGAAAGATCCAGCTGACTGAGGGAGACTGAAAGCAGATGCTGGAGGGTGACGGATGGAATCTCCCACTAACACCTGCTGGGACTCTCCTGACAGGCAGAGCAATGCTCTGACAGGCATGGACAAGAGGACGGGGTGCAGCGATTGGAGATCTATAGATTTGGTTATAGAAGGAGAGGAAAACTCTCTTTTCTCCTTGAGAGAAATAGGAGGCTGAGGAGGAAAAGTGCAAATATGACCCACTCTTGCTGAGGGGGGTGGGGGTGGGGTGGTGGAGAATGTCACCAGGAGCTGTAGATACTGTGCAACTGAAAAATGCCTAGTTGAAGGTAGGTAGTTTAATGCCCCACATGATATCCTGAGAAATGCTCAATAAATGGATCTTCTAAAAAACAAACCAATGCATAGCAGAAAAGGATGGGAGGAAATAAAATATTAACAGTGACTGCCTGAATGCTAGAACTATAGGTTTTCTTCTCTTCTACCACTCTCTAGTTTTCAATCTCGAAAAGTATGCATATACTGTATCATAATGGAAATAGTAATCTTTATTTTTCAAAGGGAATTCTAAGTTTTGGTTCATGGAACTGAGCAGCACATGTTGATGATACTGTGTTCAAGAGATAAATGTTTATAGCAAAACATCAAAATAACCTAAATGTTCATTCTTCAATGGAGAACTGGTAAAATAATTATACCACATTTATACAGCTGAACTCTATGCAGTCGTTAAAAGAA